GCCTGTAGTCCCAGCTACTCGGGAGGCTGAGGCAGGAGAATGGCGTAAACCCGGGAGGCGGAGCTTGCAGTGAGCTGAGATCCGGCCACTGCACTCCAGCCTGGGCGGCAGAGCGAGACTCCATCTCAAAAAAAAAAAAAAAAAAACACAAAAGAATAGCTGGGTGTGGTGGTACGCACCTGTAATCCCAGCTACTTGGGAGGCTGAGGCAGGAGAATCGTTTGAACCCAGGAGGCAGATGTTGCAGTGAGCTGAGATCAATCCACTGCATTCCAGCCTGGGGGACAAGAGCAAGATTTCATCTCAAAAAAAAAAAAACTGCATGCAGAAATGTGTTCTGGTGTAAAAATTTCATTCACATATGCACTGATACTTTCACACACCAATTTTTATAGCAACATCACTTATAGTACAAAATGTAAAAAGAAATCCAGATATCTTCTAAAGGATAAATAGATAAAGAAAATGTGGTATATACACACAACAAAATATTATTTAGCCTTAAAATGAATGCAGTGTGGTTGGGCATGGTGGCTTATGCTTATATAATCTCAGAGCTTTGGGAGGCAAAGATTAGAGGATCTCTTGAGCCTGGGAGTTTGAGGCCAGCCTGAGCAACATAGGAAAATCCCGTATCTACAAAAAGTACAAAAATTTGCTGGGCCTGATTGTGTGTGCCTGTAGTCCCAGCCACAGGGTAAGACCATCTGAGTCAGAAGGATCACTTAAGCCTGGGGAGGTTGAGGCAGCAATGAGTCAGGATTGCATTGCTGTGCACTCCAGCCTGGATGACAAAGAGAGACTCCATCTCAACAACAACAACAACAACAACAGCAACAACAACAACAAAAAAGCAGTGCTGATACATGCTATGACATGGATGAACTTTGAAGTCATGCTATGTAAAATAAGCCAAATAAAAAAGGATAAATATTTAATGTCAAATTTTATGTGTAGGGGAATGTCATATGAGGCTGGCTGGCCCATTCAAAGCAGAAGCAGATCATCGGGATGTTAGAATACTGGTGGCTTAATTATGTTTACACAGGCAAAGTAGGGAGGCAAGTGCTACTTTGGTACCCATCTACCCCAGTGATTGTTCTGAGCCCTGCGGTTGTTATCTGGTGCCTTCCAAGGCTGAAGGTCTGTGTAGACATAATTCTATGCCTCATCTGGGGAGCAAAGCTGCTTGGGACATAAGGAGCAGCAGTGATGGCCAGGAATAGCTCTGAGGCTTACAAATGTATCTGGCTGTCAGTTACTGTCTTTGCAGAGCTCCACACAGGAGACTGGCAAAAAGGTGTTAATGGGGTAACAATCTGTTTCCTCTGGTGAGGGGCAGAAGCTTGTGGCTGCCAACAAGGGCCAGCATTGAAATGAGGTGAGTGGAAGAAGAGGAGGTTCTCCAAACCAGCCCAGAGATGGCTGAGAAAGGCCTCCTGCACAGACACTGCCATGGCAACTCTAAAGGGCTCTGTCCCATATATTAACATATATATATCTCTGTCTCTCCACACATGCAGATATAGACATAGATATAGACATTTATTCTATTGCTTCTATTTCTCTGAATAAGTCTAATACAACCTGTAACTAACAAAAGACTGCATAAGTTATTGAAAACATACTAACAGGAAAAGCCCAGAACCAGATGGTTTCGCTGATTGTTTTAAACATTAAAGGTGTAACTCCAATATTTCTCACTCTAAAAATTGCAGTTAGTCAATGCAATATGCCAACTCAGTAGAATGAATTTTAGAAAACAACATGGTCATCTCAATTAATAGAGAAAAAATTTGACATAATCCCAAACACTTTTATGATAAGAGCACTTAGTAAACTATATATAGACTAAAACTTCCTCAACATAATAAAAGGTACATATAAAAAACTCAAAAATACCATTACATGCAATGGTGAAAGACTAAAAACTTTCAGGCCAGAATAATTGAGCAATACAAGAAAAGAAACACTACAATTGGAAAAGTAATAAGCTTATTTCTACCTAGAGATGTTATAATTTTATATATATATAATTAAAATCCTAAGTAATAACAACACTGTTAAGACCAACAATCAAAATCTGCAAAGTTGTAGGATACAAGATCAATACATACACATTCATGGAATAGAATTAAGGGTCAGGAAATAAATCTATACATGTAAATTTTTTAACGTGGACTTGGCAAAGCTGTAGGAGCTGTTGGAAAGAATTTAGTTCCTGTATTTTAGCCCAATTTTTATTTTATTTTATTTTATTTTATTTATTTATTTATTGAGACGGAGTTTCACTCTTGTTGCCCAGGCTGTAGTGCAATGGCATGATCTCGGCTCACTGCAATCTCCTCCTTCTGGGTTCAAGCTATTCTCCTGCCTTAGTCGCCTGAGTAGCTGGTATTACAGCCATGCATCACCACGCTCAGCTAATTTTGTATTTTTAGTAGAGACGGGGTTTCACCAACTGTAACCAATCCTTTACCTTGGGTTGCTTTCTCATGAACCTTGTAAAAGCCTTTCCTTCATGCTGCTCTGGTGGACGACAAATCATGGCTGGGTGCTTTCCATTTCACCAATCACTGTTTGCTAAAATAAACTGGTTAACGTTTTAACAAGGGCTCCCTTTAATTTTTAACAAGAAAGACTGGGCCCCCAACCCTGGGCCGCAGCTCCTCCCACACACACACCAAGTCGGGGTTATGCCCTGATGACCCACCTGGCATTCTTGAACAATCTGGGGAGTACTCTGGGCTGTGGGCGCAGAGCAGGGCACCACGCAGAGACGGGACAAGATGCCACAGGGCGGGACGCATCAGAGTATTCCTTTTTTCTTTCTTTAAAATACAAAATGAGGGAAGTGTTGTGCTCCATACAAAATTCAAAAGGTACAAAAGAGCATGTTGAAAAGTTAAGTCTCACTTCCATATCACAACCCCAGGCACCCCAGGTTCCTTCTCTTTAGGAAATAATGTTACTGGTTTCCCATATGTCTTTTCAGAGTTTTTATGCCTGGACAGTATGTATGTATGTGTGCACATTTTTTAAAGTATATAGTAGTATCTTGTGCACACTATTCTGTACCTTTCATTTTTCACTTAACATATTTGGAGATTGTATCATCTCAGTACAGATCTCCCTGTTCTTTTTTTTTTTTTTAGCTGAGATATACATATCATACAATAAAATTGACCTTATTTAAGTGTATACTCAGAAGCGGGTATGGTGACTTATTCCTGTAATCCCAGCAACTGGGGAGGCTGAGTTGGAGAATCACTTGAGGCAGGAGTTCAAGACCAGCCTGGGCAACAAAGCAAGAGCTTAGACTCTAAAAATAAACATAAGTAAAATTTGCAATCCACTGGTTTTTAGCTTAGTAACTGTCACCACTGTGGAGGAAGCAGTGATGATAAAGGGAAATCCTATACCCTTTAACGGTCACTCTCTATTCTTTCCTCCTCATCCCCTTGCAGTCATGAGTCTACTCTCTGTCTCTATGGACTTGCATATTCTGGATATTTCATATAAATGGGATTATATAATAAAAAAAGAAATTCCAGGAACACCAGAAACAGATTACACTTTTTCTGCTTTATAATTTCAAGTCCTATGAAGGTTTAAAACATAATTCTACAAAAAATTTGACTGAAAAACATTATGTGCAAAAAGTATCATGTTAAATATAAGAAAAGTCTAATTATTTTATGCAGGAATTTTATTTTTCTTATCAGGACCTAATCTTAAAAATTGAAACTCTATATACCAACAGACTCTACTGTAGGGCAGTTTATTGTATGTACTCATGTTATTGATTCCTTACAAAAAATTTTCCCATAGGAAAATTAGAACATTGCTCAACATATGCTGAATTCCCAATTAGTACCTTATTTCTCACTTATTATTTTATGATTCTGTCTTCTTTAACATGCAGATTACCACGACTGTGTTTACACTCTCTGAATTGTCATATGTCTGTAATTTCCCTGTAATGTTAGTTTCAGAAGTTCTACAATAACATGCTTGAGGCCTGACACAATGGCTCACACCTGTAATCCCAGCACTTTGGGAGGCGGAGGCAGATGGATCACAAGGTCAGGAGTTTGAGACCAGCCTGGCCAACATAGTGAAACCCTAACTCTACTAAAAATACAAAAAAGTTAGCCAGGCTCGGTGTCATGCACCTGTAATCCTAGCTACTCAGGAGGCTGAGGCAGGAGAATTGCTTGAACCTGGGTGGTGGAGGTTGCAGTGAGCCAAGATCATGCCACTGCACACCAGCCTGGGCAACAGGGTGAGACTCTGTCTCAAATAAATAAATAAATAGGTAAATAAAATAAAATAACATGCTCGAATATATATGTTATATATAAATTATATAATTTACTAAGATATTTGTCTTGTATGTTTCATCAACTGTAGGCACAATGTTATTAGCATTTCCTTCCAGTTTGCTCAACTTTTACCTGAATAATAGCACAAGTTATTCCCAATTTTATGTTAAATATCAATGTTTTATACTGTATTTACTATATATAGTTATTGTATTTAGAAATAGGCCGGGCCCGGTGGCTCACGCCTATAATCCCAGCACTTTGGGAGGCCAAGGCAGGTGGATCACGAGGTCAGGAGATCGAGACCATCCTGGCTAACACGGTGAAACCCCGTCTCTACTAAAAATACAAAAAATTAGCCAGGCGTGGTGGCGGGCGCCTGTAGTCCCAACTACTTGGGAGGCTGAGGCAGGAGAATGGTGTGAACCTAGGAGGTGGAACCTCCTAGGTTCCTCATGGTGTTTCCCAAAATCGGGTTCCCATCTTTATCAACCCTAGAGTGACACTGACTAGCCCAGTGTTTTTTCCTTTTTCACATTTTGGACATATTTCAAGCTCAGAAGTCTTCTTTTTTCCCCTGACAGCCTGACTTGCTGATTTTTTCCACATTCTTTTTTAATATGACCATGCTTCCCGCAGTTAAAACAAGCTCCAGGAAACAGAGTATTTCCTTTATCCACTCTCAGTCCTGCCATTGCCTGTGCCAACAAGGTAGCTTCATGCAGATTACCTCTGATACCATCACAGGCCTTGATATAATCAACTAAATATGCTTTCCCTCTGATAGGTCGCAGAGCAGTCTGGCAATCAGGATTAGCATTGTTGAAAGATAATAACTGCAACACTATATCCTGAACAGCTGAATCTGCAATATCTTTTTAAAAGACTCCTGTAACCCAGCTATAAAATCAACGTACGGTTCTCTGGGTCCCTGGTTTATAGCACTAAAGGAATGGTATTGCACCCCACTTGAAGTAATTTTTTTCCCAAGCTCTAATGCACCCTGCTCTAAGTTGTTCTATGGCATCATCCTGCATGAGCAGTTGTGCATCTAAACCAGCCCAGCCACCAACCCCTAAAAGTTGGTCTGCAGTTATATTAATTTGAGGTTGGACCTGGGCATTGAGAGCAGCCTGAATGGAAGGTTCATCTGCCCACCAAGTTTTAAATCGTAAGAACTGAGCAGGAGTTAGACAAGCTCAAGTAAGAGTGTCCCAGTCAGTAAGAATCATTCAACTGGAAACAGTAACTTTCTTTAACAGTTCCATTACAAAAGGAGAATCTGGTCCATACTCACTTATTGCTTATTTTAATTCTTTGAGTAATTTAAAAGGAAAAGTCTCAAATGTAGCTGTAATATTTCCCTCTTGATCCAGGGGATGTATTCTAACAAGGAACTGCCAAGCCTCTAAATCACCCTCTTGTCTAAGACAGTTTGCTGAATTCTTGTCTGAATAGAACTAAGAGCTGTGGCTCGAGGCACTGCTGGAACAGTCACTGGGGCAACTACTTTTCGTCCAGTGTCCTCTGCAAAAGAACTATCTGGGGGGCCATTTTCTTCAAAATGATTATGAGGGGGTACAGAAGGGTAGGGATGAACCTCTCCTGCCTTCACGGCTTTAGCTTTAGCTGGCAAATAAACCTGCTGTGTAACCTCTTCTGTTACTTATAATGTATACTCTCCTTCCTTATCATCAGTGTGAAAAAGTTCCAAGGTGGAATGAACCAGACCCCAAACTTTGCCCTATTGTTACCCTGATGCTTCTGAGCTCCCCTTGTTACTCACCACAGGATTGCTCTAAGAGTACCCGGATGTCCTCCAGCTAGTTTTCGGTTCCAACCATTGCTCTGGTGACCCTTTGACCAGGATTTGAGCCTGCATGATGGATGCCACTTGCTGAGACCAGCTCGGGCAGGGAGACCCTAGCCCAGCGGTGCTAGAGGAATTAAAGTCACACACACAAAAATATGAAGGTGTGAAGTGGGAAAACAGGGGTCTGACAGCCTTCAGAGCTGAGAGCCCTGAACAGAGATTTACCCACATATTTATTAACAGCAAACTAGTCATTAACATTGTGTCTATACATATTAAATTAACTAAAGATATCCCTTATGACAAACAAATGGATGGGCCAAATTAATTGCAGCAGGAACACGCCCTTAAGACACAGATCACTCATGCTATTATTTGTGGCTTAAGAATACCTTTAAGTGGTTTTCAGCCCTAGGCAGGCCAGGTGTTCCTTGCCCTCATTCCTGTAAACCCACAACCTTCCAGCTTGGGTATTAGGGCTGTTATGAACGTGTTACAGTGCTGCAGAGATTTTATTTACGGTCAGTACTGGGGCCAGCTTATGGCCAGACTATGGGGGGCTTGCTCCCAACAGTTTTCTTTAAAAAGTTTTTGCCTTAACTGTATCCAAATGATTCAAAATTCATGCTTTTCATGGATGCACAGTTAGAGTTGAAAATTGTAGTTATCTAGAATTCTTTTCTATGTTTATTCAGGATTTTATGGGTTAAAGTTTCTCTTCATTATATTTTGTATTTTATATTTCTGTATTTTTTAGAGTGGGCTCCTCACATCAGTTGTGTTTCTAGTTTCTACTTATTTATTATGGTTTTGAATTACAGCATTCAAACCAGAATTTTTGGGGTTAATGTTAATTTTAACTTTGTTTGAAATTTTGTGTTTGTGTGTTTCAACTTTTAGGGTAGGCCACCTTACATAAGTTTACTGTTTTTAGTTTTAGCTTATATATTATAATTTTGTATGACAATATTCAACCCTGTACACCTTAAGACAGTGTGGGGCAAAAGCCAACTATGACTCAGCCCTACATTCTTTGTCAATATAATTGTTTGTTTGCTTCTATAAATATTACCCCTATTTTGTTTATGATTCATATAGTTTTCTTCTTGGTGGCCAATAATTGATTATGTCTAAGTGAGTAGTCATGGAAATTGTCTTAATTTCAACATCTTTATCTTGTATTATCTTAGTGTGAAAGAAACTTTTGTGGTTTGAAGGCAATTATTGAGAAAGTTTGTAACTCTATCCCTTTTAGGTGTCTTATTTATTTATTTAAGACAGAGTCTTGCTCTGTTGCCCAAAGTGCATTGACACAATCTCAGCTCACTGCAACCTCCACCTCCCAGGTTAAAGCAATTCTCCTGCTTCAGCCTCCTGAGTAGCTGGAATTAAAGGCATGCTCCACCATGCCTGGCTAATTTTTGTATTTTCAGTAGAGATGGGGCCAGGCTGGTCTTGAATTCTTGACCTCAAGTGATCTGCACACCTCAGCCTCCCAGAATGCTTGAATTACAGGTATGAGTCACCACGCCCTGCCCTCAGGTGTCATTTAAAATTTTGATTGTGGTAAAAATACATAACATAAAATTTAGAATTTTAAATAAATATTTTTTCTTATATAGTTTAGTCATATTGTGTATTTACATTGTTATATAACATAGTTGTAAAACTTTTTTGAAAACTAAAACTCAATACACATGAAATAAATTAATAATACCCATGTTTTTTACCACCTGGCTCCTGATAAAAGCCATTCCATTTTCTATTTCTAAGATTTTCAATAATTTAGATATTACATATAAGTGGAATCATAAAGTATCTCTTTTATTGTGGCTAAGTTTACTTAGCATCCTGTCCTCAAGGTTTATCTTTATAGTGGATATTACAGGATTTTCTGCTTTTAAAAGCAGAGTAGTTTTCCATTACTTTTATATTACAAATCATATTTATTCATTAATTCCATCAGGAAAGTTGGTTTTCTTTTAAAATATTGGCCTTTGTGTTGCAGGAAGTCAGGGACCCCGAACAGAGGGACCAGCTGAAGTCACGGCAGAAGAACATAAATTGTGAAGATTTCATGTACATTTATTAGTTCCCCAAATTAACCCTTTTATTATTTCTTATGCCTGTATTTACTATAATCTCTGAACATAAATTGTGAAGATTTAATGGACACTTATCACTTCCCCAATCAATACTTTTGTGATTTACTATGACTGCTGTTAATCTCTTAATCCTGTCATCTTCTTTGTAAGCTGAGAAGGATGAATGTCACCTCAGGACCCTGTGATTGTGTCAGATGCACAAATTGTTTGTAGAGTATGTGTGTTTGAACAATATGAAATCTGGGCATCTTAAAAAAAAGAACAGGATAACAGCGATGTTCAGGTAACAAGAGAGGTAACTTTGGACTGGCCGCTGGTGAGCCAGATGGAACAGAGCTATATTTCTCCTCTTTCAGAAGCAAACAGGAGAAATATCGCTGAATTCTTTTTCTCAGCATGGAACATGCCTGAGAAAGAGAATGCGCCCTGAAGGTAGATTTATAGATGGCCCCTTTAAGGTGTGCCACCATTTAGGGTCGAAGCTGAAGGGATGAAATAAGCCCAGGTCTCCTGTAGCACTCCCACGCTTATTAAGAGGAGAAAAATTCCTAGCTAATAAATTTTGGTTAGTCAGGTTGTCTGCTCTCAAACCCTGTTTCCTGATAAGATGTTATCAATGATAATGCGTGCCTGAAATTCATTAGCAATTTTAATTTTGCCCCATCCGGTGGTCCTGTGATCTCACCCGGACTCCATTTGCTTTGTGATATTTTATTACCTTGTGAAGTATGTGATCTCTGTAACTCACCCTATTCGTGCACTCCCTCCCCTTTTGAAAATTGCTAATAAAAACTTGCTGGTTTTTTGGCTTGGGGAACATCACGGATCCTGCTGACATGTGATGTCTCCCCCAGACACCCAGCTTTAAATTTCTCTCTCTTGTGCTCTTTCCCTTTATTTCTCAAACCAGCCGAGACACCTAGGAAATAGAAAAGAACCTATGTAACCATCAGGAGTGGGTTCTCCCGACACTTTTGTGAATAATGCTTCAATGAATATAGGTGTTCAAATTACTATTTACCCATATGTACGAGGTTTGCATTTGTGCTACACTGTGTTTTATTGGAAAACTTGTCTACTTTTATGCCAGAATCAAACTGTTTTTATTACTGTAGCTTTGTAATGTTCTTTGAAATTAGAAAAGGTGAGGTCACTAACATTGTTTCTTTTTTAAAACATTTTTGGGCTCTTTATTGTCCCTTGAGAGTCCATATAATTTGTTGGTTGGTTTTTCTGTTTCTAAAAACAAAAACAAAAACTTGTTAATTGTAAAGGGATTGCATTGAATCTGTAGCCCACTAGGCAACATGAACATCTTCACAATATTAAGTCTTACAACCCTTGAACATGAACATGCTCTAGTGAGTTGTGTAATATCCATATATATGTTGATATTTTTGTTTTCTTCTGTTATTGATTTCTAGTTTTATTTCATTTTTATCAGAAATAATAGTCTTTAACATGTATATTTTTAAAAAATTGTTAAGTATTGTTTTGTGGCCTAATAGGTGGTGTATCTAGAAGAATTTTTTATGAGCTATTGAGAAAATTGTATGTTTTGCTGTTTTTGTGTATTCTGTACATGCCCATTAGGTCTAATTTTTCTCCAGTGTTTTCAAATCTTCTGTTTCCTTATTGATATTTTGGCTAGCTTTATTAATTATTATTTAAAGTTCAAAATAAAGTATTCTACTATTATTATTTTTTCTGTCTATTGTAATAATTATTTCAATGTTTGCTTTCTACATTTGGGAACACTGGTGTGAGAATTATATATATACACACACACACATATATATAAAATAAAATTTCATAAATTCTCAGCAAATTAGCCCTTTTATTATTGTTTAATGGCCTTCTTTGTCTCCTGCAGAGTTTAGACTTAAAGTTTATTTTATGAACTATGACTAAAATTTATTTTGCCTAACACAGTTATGACCAGCACTGCTCTCATTCAATAACCATTTACATCAAAAGTCTATTTTCATCTTGCTACTTTCAGTCTAGTTTTGACATTAGATCTAAAGTGAGTCACGTATGGAGAAGATAAAGTTGGGCTTTGTTTTATTAATCCCTCTATTCAATTTACATGTTTTGATTGAAAAGTTTAGTTCATAAATATTAAAATAGGTTTTTGAAAATGAAGGACTTACTTTTGTCATTGTTTTCTCTGATTTTATAGCTATGTGGCCCCCTTTACGCACTCTTTTGAATCTTCCTTTTTGTGTTGATTTTTGTAGTGAGATGCTTTAATGTATTTTGTGTGTGTGTGTGTGTGTGTATCTCTGTGAATATTTTCTTTGTGGTTGACATGGGAATTACATAAAATCTTTTTTTTCTTTTTTTCTTTTTGGACAGTGTCTTACACTGTAGCCCACCACTGGAGGGCAGTGGAATGATCTCAGCTCACTGCAACCTCCGCCTCCTGAGTTCAAATGATTCTCCTTCCTTAGTCTCCCCAGGAGCTGGGATTACAGGCGCCCACTACTATGCCCGGCTTATTTTTTGTATTTTTATTAGAGATTGGGGGTTTCACCATGTTGGCCAGGCTGGTCTCGAAATCCTGAACTTGTGATTCACACGCCTCGGCCTCCCAAAGTGCTTGGATTATAGGTGTGAGACACCACACCTGGCCCATAAAACCTCTTAAAGTTACAATATATTTTAAATTGGTAACAACTTAATTTTTTTTTTTTAGACTGAGTCTTTCTCTGTTGCCCAGGCTGGAGTGCAATGGTAGGATCTCGGCTCACTGCAAACCCCACCTCCCAGGTTCATGTGATTCCCCTCCCTCAGTTTCCTGAATAGCTGGGATAATAGGTGCCTGTCACCGTGCCCAGCTAATTTTTTTTCTTTTTTGAGACAGAGTCTCTCTCTGTCACCCAGGCTGCAATGGCACGATCTTGGCTCGCTGCAAGCTCTGCCTCCCTGGTTCACGCCATTCTCCTGCCTCAGCCTCCTGAGTGGTTGGGACTACAGGGGCTCGCCACCATGCCAAGCTACTTTTTTGTATTTTTAG